TATCCTTGCTTCTTATGTTTCATTCAAGATGCATATGATGATAGTTGATTAGCATATTGTTGAAATCTTCTTTCTTTCTTTTCTCTCTTCTTTGGTGGTCTTTAAAATATGTATGTGCTCAAAACACTTGTGTAATCTGCTTAGAAGAATCATTCATGTAAACACAAGATCACCATAAACTGTTGTTGATTGATTCCTTGGGATACTTGGTGAAAGTCGAATCTCAATAAGATAATGGCTGCGTTCATTATGGGAAATCCTGATAGGAGATCTTACGGGATCAGATTCTCTTGGATCAATGGTAGTCATATCTTAAAGGGGACCGATTGATGGTCAGTCTCTTGTGAGATCACTAACGGATATCATTGAAAGGAAATCATGGTAGGAGATCTTGAGGGATCAGATTCTATTAGTTTAATAATTTTTATATTCGTTAAATTGGATCACTGAACATATCAAAATCATTCAACAATTTCCATGATTCTAAGCTAAAGTTTTGCAATATATTTGATTTGTAAGTGACAGAATGTAAAAACATATAATTGATAAAGTAAGGCTTTAGAGAAATAAGCTTGTTGGGATTGGATTTCACCCACATATTAAATATGCAAATCACTGATCAATTATACACAATCTAAGTATGCATCATTATCATCATGTATCGCTCACAAACAAAGTTTATGTCTAAACTTTTGATGAGGTTTCTACCTTATGTTTATTAAATAATATGACAGTATTAAGAATCGATACTTACAGTGAATATTAAACCTAAATCTATGTCTAGCCTTTAGAGTTTAACATATGATTATCTTGGATCGAGATTAGAATCGTATTTCTCAATATCAATTCAAATCAATGAGTTAAATTGTAAAAAAAAGATAATATCAAAAATGATTCATAAATGGATTGCATATAACACCATGATTAATGCAAATACATATTATTTTGGTGAACTACGACCAATCCCAACAAGATAGGGATTTAGCTACTCATGGTAGCTTGATGCACAATGGAAGATTTGAGATGAACGGGCATAAACGATGAATTCCCGACTCTTGATGTGTATCAAACTCCTCTTCCTTACTTCTTCTCTCATATTTCCTATTCTTTATTGAAATTACAGAGTATGATACAAGATTAAAGGATGATGTCTCAACTGAACTGATTTTGTCCCTATTTATAGCAATTTTACTCTGTCAAGTTTTCTTAGTGAAATAAGTTCTCTTAGCAAACTTACTTTTCTTTTTCATTTTCAAACCTCCTTCTGAACTCGCCAAAGTTCCCTTAGCGAAATAAGTTCGCTTATCGATTTTTTTGATGTTTGAAAGTTGAAACTCTTTGTTTCCATTCGCGGATCCTCGCTTGGGGCAAAATTTGGTTAATTTGCTTCTGTCTTGACTTCCCTGAAGCTCTCTTAGCGAAGTGTCTAATTTCTGGTTTTTGTAACTTTTTGTCCTGTCTTCGCTGGAGCTCGCAATCTCTCGCTTAACGAAGTGTCTGATTCCTGGTTTTTGTTTAAGGGAAATAACCTGCAAAAATGCAAACCAAATCAAATTAATCTTGCATATATAAGACTACTTTTATTCATTATTTTGGGGTTTTCATGTTAGAATCTTGTAATTTAAGTAAGATAAATGCCATGTTTTAATGTGATAATTCAATATGAATCAAACACTTATCAATCAATGACCTTCTCAAACACATTTATATCCACACACTGATGGATATAGAACAATGTCATCTTCTTCCTCGTTTCACATTGCATGTTTCTTTGCACTTTCATTGGATGCACTGCAACCACTATGTAACCATCAATGACGAGATCAAGAACATCTTGAGCACCAAACAACACACGCATTTGAATCATCCACCAATTCCAGTTCTTTCCATCAAATACTTAAAGCTTTGTGTTCAACCTACTGTTTTCGCTGTTCATCTTCGTTCTTATGCAAATTCACTCAGGTCTCACCAACACCTGTGTTTCCCAATACCGCAGAATCAAGAAATGTGATTCTGTTTTGATTTCGATATTAAATTCAATGCGGATTCATATGAATCTAACTGAAGATTTCTATACCAATTATTGGAGCACAAGGTTAAAGATGAAAATGAAGATGGGTGGAGAGAAAAGAGTGTAACTAACTTTTCTAACAAACTTTCTCAAATTGTAGAAAATGAAATAGTATCTGTTACAATTAAGGTCATTAATTTATATACTAACGCCACTACCAAAAATAGGCAACTTATGAAAATGAATTATAGATAACATATGTTTGTTTCTATGATTCCTTTGTGTACATGTGCATTCTCCATGCTTAGATGATTCCAACATAACCACGTACCCTTCTCCATACTCAATTTCAATTAACTTTAAGATTTGATGTTGGATTGTCATCTCAAACATCAAGATTCATTTCTTATTTTTGGATAATAATAATCAAATTATAATAGAATATAAAAATAACATGAAAATAAAAAATTAATCATTTATCTAAATTGGTCTATAACTATTTGATTATATTAGAATATCTAAAAGGGTTAATAGTTCTGCTCTTTCGCATTTGTCGGTCCCTTTTGCTGCCAGGTTTTCTGAAGATGCTGCTCAATAGCATTTTTTTAACTCTGATTATTAATGTTTTTAATATGTCTTGAATTTATATTTCTCAATTTCAAAATTGAACTACGAGTTTTTATGATTTAGTTATTTTCCATATAGTAAGTAGCTGTATTTTATAGTATGTAACTTATGTGCAATGTGCATGACACAATACTATTGGGTGTTTTACTATTATGTATTCCATAAAATTACTTTACTATTATGAATTTGTGTAAGGCAGGGTTTAACACACCCTTTTGGACTCTTCACAATAGAGCTTCATGCCTTCATTCATATATTTGAACATTTGGACTCTCATTTCAGTAGTATAACATATTACTAGATCGGTTGTTCAAATAAGTTTATACATTAATTAAGTTGGCTTCAATTTAATCCAATAGAATATGAGATTTATTTGGTCTTTCAATAATCTTCCCATGTAGAAACTATTATTTTACTGTCATTCTCATGATTTAACAGTGATAGAAACTAGTTCTTTATATAATAGAGTTAAGGCAATTTCTCATATTCATTAATACTAACAAAATTACAATATACAGGATAACACACATAATAACATTAGGATAATTATTCTAAACTCCTTACTTAATAGTCTAATAGACAACTAATTAAAGTGACGACATCTCAATCTTTAACATAGTAAATTGAGGTTTATTTTAAAACAAACTTACTAGTTTATAGAAACAAGACCTTATTTAGTGCACAAATAAGACCTTACAGTACACATAAATTACAGAAAGTAAAAGCTTAGGAACAACATAAAAAAGTTTGGAAATGACACATATACCAACTAACAAAGATATAAACTAGTAGTTTCCTTTTGTTCACATAGTGGCAACTGGTGTGGCAACCGGTGGGCGTGGCACCCATAGAATGTGCTTAACAGGGAAAAAATGGCACAGTGGAGCATCCCCAGGCTTCATTCCAAGTAGGTCAAATATAAAATGATTAGGATTCATGTCAGATGTGTCTAGGTGGCAAATTCCCAAAGCATTCATTATGTCTCCATCTTCACCCTTTAGAAGAACTTTGAATATCTTACTCCCTATGTCTAGGTAGTGGCAATAGTAAAGAGCATATGGGTAAGGCCTAGGGTGACATGCTACCCATTTAGGAGCATAAATATCTTTTGAGATATCCAAAACAGTGTAGTTCTGCAAACGTGCACCTGATGGTGTGGGATGGCTAGTCGAGTGAGTGCTATAATTAGTTTCGGAACCAATAACACTGTGAACAAATTCAAGCATGGACTCTAAAGAAGTAGGACAAGCCTTGGTCTCCCCTTTGTTGGGTGGAAACTCACATTGATTAATTACGTCTATCATGTCTTGACCTTGAGGAGAATCTTTTGTGAGTGAGAATAGATCTAGAAGGCTTGGAACTTGTGATTTGGAAAAAGGAATGTCATCGGCAACTTTTCTTGGCAAGAACTTAGCATATTCTCGGATAGGAAATTGCAAGGTCATTACACTCCCTACATAAAGATCTTCTATACCGAAAAAAGCTACCTTGAATGCTTCTGTATGGTCAACTTTCGAAGATAGTTTTCCGTTTGATTCTGCCAAATCTTGTCTAATTTTCATGTGGTTCACTGCATGAGAGTCTTTCAACCAACCATCAAGGTAAGCTTGCTTGGAATTCGGGATAGATTTTGAGATCTCAACATGACTATCTTTCAACCAACCATCAAGGTAAACTCGGTTGAAGTTAGGGGAGGAATTGTCTTTCTCAACTTGTGTATCTTTCAACCATCCATCAAGGTAAACTTGGTTGGAGTCAGGGTTGGATTTCGCGTTTTTGCCTCGGGTATCTTTCAACCATCCATCAAGGTAAACTTGGTTGGATTCAGGGTTGAATTTTGCATTTTCGGCTCGGGTGTCTTTCAACCATCCATCAAGGTAAACTTGGTTGGTATCAGGGTTGGCTTTTGCTTTCTCAACCCGAGAATCTTTCAACCATCCATCAAGGTAAACTTGGTTGAAGTCGGGGTTGGATTTTGCTTTTTCAGCCCGGGTATCTTTCAACCATCCATCAAGGTAAACTTGGTTGGAGTCAGAGGTTGGTTTTGCTTTCTCAACTCGGATATCTTTCAACCACCCATCAAGGTAAACTTGGTTGGAGTCAGAGTTAGATTTTGCTTTCTCAGCTCGAGTATCTTTTAACCATCCATCAAGGTAAACTTGGTTGGAGTCATGGTTGAATTTTTCTTTCTCATCTCGGATATCTTTTAACCAACCATCAAGGTAAACTTGGTTGGAGTCAGGTTTAAATTTTGCTTTCTCGACCCGAGTATTTTTCAACCATCCATCAATATAAACTTGGTTGGAGTCGGGATTAGTTTTGGATTTCTCGACTCTAGTATCTTTTAACCATCCATCAAGATAAACTTGGTTGGAGTCAGGGTTGAATTTTTCTTTCTCGGCTCGGGTATCTTTCAACCATCCATCGAGGTAAATTTGGTTGGACTCAAGGTTAGCTTTTGCTTTCTCGGCTCTAGTATCTTTCAACCATCCATCAAGGTAAACTTGGTTGGAGTCGGGGTTGGCTTTTACTTTGTCCGCTCGGATATCTTTCAACCATCCATCAAGGTAAACTTGGTTGGAGTCAATATTGGATTTTGCTTTCTCGGCTCTAGTATCTTTCAACCAGCCATCGAGGTAAACTTGGTTGGACTCAGGATTGACTTTTGTTTTTTCGTCTCTGGTATCTTTCAACCATCCATCAAGGTAAACATGGTTGGAGTCAGGGTTTGATTTTTCTTTTTCGACTCGGGCATCTTTCAACCATCCATCAAGGTAAACTTGATTGGAGTCAGGGAAATGTTTTTGGTTCTTCAGTTGAGTGTTTTTGAGCCAGCCATCAAGATAAGGTTGATCAACTTGGCTCATATCTCTTGCAAAGCTTTCATGGCCATTCTACAATATAATTGAATAAAAGAGATATTAATGAGTGACAAATTAATTATATGTTTTGGATGATATACATGATTAAAAAACACGAGTGTGTTATGAAACACATTTTGTTGTATAGTGGAAGAAATATTCATTATATATATGTATACTAAATAAATACATAATTTGAAACATAAAAAATAGGAAGTAGAATATTTTTAATTACATTACAACAAAAATAACATAATTTTATTACATTACAACAAAAAATAACATAATTTTATTAAATAGTATAAAACAACTTGATTCCGAGTGTATTGAATACATGAGAAACAACTAAGGAGAAAGATCTTATAAGCATGCATTAAATTCAATATGCATATAGATTGCCAATAAAGATGAAAATGATAGAATATGAACATGTTGAATTTTATTAAATTTAACATGTATGTACAATTGCAAAACAAAGATCAAAATGATAGATTATGAACGTGTTGAATTTTATTAAATTTAATATGCATGTACAATTTCAAAACAAGAAGAAAATGATAGATTATGAACATGTTGAATTTTATTAAATTTAACATGGATGCACAATTGCAAATAAATATGAGAATGATAGATTATTATCATAAATAAATGATGAAAAATGTAAGTGTAAAATATAAAAGCATGTATTCAAAATTAGTAACTCACAATCAACAAGAGCAGGAGAAAAGGGAGGAGAGACAAAACAACTCTGTATGCCATTTCTTTTTGTTATGTTTGTGGGAAAATTATTTTGCTGTGAAATATGAATTGGAGTGAAAGTGAGCTGAGCTATTTATAGGCAAGTAAGGAGGATATTAAGACTTTGTTTGGCAAAATCATTTTTTAATTCATGTTTTAAAAATATGTTTGGCAACTGGAATCTTGTCATATACTTATAGCTTATTTTTATCAATTTATAACTTATTTTTGATAAGTTATTTCAATTAGTATATAATATATCTGTTTTTTTTTCAATTCTACTGTTGTAATTTTAATTGAAATATATATTAAAAAAAATTAAACATATCATTTAAGTTAGATTAATTTTATAAATTTAAGTTGCTACCTTATCACCTTATCAGTGCTATGCAATAGATTAATTCATTTATTTCTTTTTTTAATCAAAAAGAACTTAACCTTAAAAAATGATGTAAGGTATGAAAAAGAGAGTTGTTTCTGTGATCTTGTGTGTATTTTTAAAATTGTTTGTAAAATGTAGAGGACATAAAGATGATAATCACATGTAATTTCATTTTTTTTCTCTCAACTGTATCTCTATTATCAAAGCTGTTAGCTGAAAGGGTAGATTATCAACTATAAGTTATTTTTTTACCATTATCAACTGTCAATATTTTGTTGATATAAAAACGAAGTTAATAAGAAATGTTCATCATTATCAGTTTTTATGCATAATATTCTTAGTCGAATTGTAATGATATGTCCAACTTAACATTATCATTATGTTGATTATATCTTGAGGATTGTAAATTTCTTATTTGATTAGTTATATTTGAACATGTAATTTAACATTAAAACTGTAACAAAATCACAATAATAGTCTAGTTTTGTTAAATTGAATGTTATAGGTGTTTGATAGTAGGGAGCAAGTATACATCATGAAAATGACTTATATGTTTTGGTTATCGTAATCTTCTGACAAATTTTTTATTAGCAAGTCCTTGGAATTTACAACATAGGAGTAAACAATAATGAATATGAATTCAGATTTTAAGACAAAATAGTGTCACAAGTTAAGCCGACACAATCACATGCATGGTTTGTAATATTCTTTAAGTAAGCTGATATGATAAATTATAAAAATTTAAATATCCAAAAACTTGAAAGGTTTGAAGTTGTATTTTTTTGTCAAATGTTTGTAATAGTATTAGATAGATAAAACGTATGATTAACAAATTATGTACTCTGTAGTATATATATATATGAAACATATGACAGTATGCACAACTATGTACTCCATATTACAATTGGCAGAGATTCAAACAAAAATAGCATATTTGCTATTTTTTAAATTACACATTTGTCATTGATTTTGAGATCAAGTAAAAAAACCGTTGTCATTGATTTTTATTTATATTAGTAGAAAAATTTATAAGCACTTATGTGAAAACTTACCGGCGAAATCTATAATTTGAACGGTGGTAAGAAATTCTTTTTATTAACATATTTATTAATTTGTTTGATATCTAATTATTCTCAATAGATATTATTACAAACACAAATTTAATTTTTATATTTTATATATAATTAATGCATTTCATAATAATACAGTCTGAATAACCCAAACAGTATTAGAGGAATCCCCATACTAGGTTTTTAGATTTTGTGCAAAAGGATCTCATTAATCTTCTGCTACCAACTCATAGGAATTCACAACATAGAGAACAATGAATCATGAATTTAAGACAAAATAGTCTCACAAGGTATTTTGCATGTTTGACAACTCAAACCTTGAAAGTTTCACATGTTGTGTTTGCATGCAATACTCAATATAACAAGTTCATAAATTGCTTGCAAAATTGTGTAGTATCTAAAAAGTACTAGTAATAGTTACATTCATGAGTAAAAAGAAGTTCATTTATTAGTACATTTTTTGTTTAAATTTTGTATAAACTTTTGAGTTTTGTTTTTAAATAAACAATCGATGAAAAAAATTTCATAAAAAATGATTTTATGCATTTCATCATTTTGCTGTAAATTTTTTGCATAGTAAAATTTAGAAAATAAATATTATTTTAAATAACTTCTCATAAAATTTATTTTTGAAAATACATTTTTTTGAAAAATTATATTCAGCTTTGTGAATGTCATAATTATTCTTTTTATTTATAAAAATTGAATTTGGAATAACTTTTATTATTTTTAATAAGTATTCATAAAATTCATTTTTAAAAATATAAAGATAAAATTAACTTTTTTAAAATCTATAAGAGACATCTTAAGTATATTACCGTGCAGCAGTTTTTTATTTAATGTTAAATTATAAAATTTTATGACAAATAAATATCTAATCAATCTGGATAAAGGTTAACAAATTACTCGTATATGATAATTTGAGAAACAGTCTTGATATTATGTTCAACGGAAACAACATGGAAAGTTTGAGGATAACTTTTTAATGTAATTAAAGTATTAACACTAGTCAGAAATTTAAAACAAAAAATGATGGAATAAATTTATGTTTAGAACTTGAGACTTAAAAGTTAAGAAAACATGAGCCTGAAAAGTTAAAACATGATCTTCAAAATAAACAAGTAAATAAATTTGAAGAAACACCGAAATTTGTGACTCCTTTTTACGTAAAATTTATGTGAGCCACACACAACACATCATTCAAATGTGGTATTTTCCATTAATTTTACTACTTAATAATTAATTATTTTTTTAAAACCACAAACAAAACACAATTCATATGTGGTATTTTCGAACTTTTTTTTGAATAATCAGGTATTAAAAAAAATTTCGCAAAAAATCACGTTTCAGAAAAAATTACGCAAATAATCATGTTTCAGATGACTCCCCAAAGGAGGAGTCATCTCACTTGGCGCCTCCACCTAGGGTTTTGCCCTAGGCGCCATCTCACTTGGCGCCTCCTCTCTCTTTTAGCCAAGTGAGATGGCGCATGCACTTTAAAAGTGAGAGGAGGCGCCATCTCACTTGGCTCCTAGGGCAAAACTAGGGCAAAATGTTGTTTTATAAATAATTTGTCCGTTTCTCCATCATTTCTCACACTTTCTCGCGCTGTTTTTTTTATTTTTTACTCTGTTATTTGCGCCATGACGTCGCCCATGATTTTTATCAGAGATGGTTACGTTATCTTCTCCGCCACGAAACCTGCGATGAAAATGAAATTCTGGCACATTCACTCCATGGAGCGTCTGAAGCGGGAGTTGATGCGATGGCTAGATGGAGACATTGCGGAGGGAGAAAAAATTCGATGGATCCAGCGAAGACGAACAACAACCTCACATGCGACAGGAAGACCTAATGTATGGTTGGAGGAAGTCAAAACAGACAGCGATGTAATGTTGATGATGCATGGGTCAGATGAAATTGTTTTAACAGTTGTAATTTCGTAGACGGAATATCGTGTTTTTTTTCTTGTACGCGCAATATTTATTGTATCAAATACTGTTAACGAAAAACCCTAATGTTTACAACATAATTAAGGAAAGATTTTATGTATTACAATTTTTATGTGGTCGAGGCAGACGCCCGATTCGGACAATTTTTGCGATTGTGTCCGACCTGACGGCATAAACTACACTTTCTTTCCAGCTTGTCAAGTTCGTCCATTTCAGTTGTGATGCGCTTACTTTTGGGACGACCCTTCTTGTTCCTTCGCATTTGGTCATTGTGCCACACTATTTCGCCGTCGTATGCAGGCCAATAATCAAGTTTTGCTACCAAAGGAAAGTCGTTGTTGTAAACGTTGAGCAACGTTTCAGATTTTTAAATGTGTGACAGAAGTTGTAGCGCGTCTTGATGGGTATAAGCACAAGAGGCAATGACATGACAGCAAGGCATACGAAAGGCTTGAAACTTGCCACAATCGCACCAACGAGAAGGTAGTATTACCCTATATTCCTGTCTTGGCAGGCCTTCGTTGTGGTTAATTGTCTCTTTCACAATGAAGTTGTGGTTGTGTCCGTCAAACCGTATAACCATATGAGTGTTGGCTTTGTCACTTTCTGCCTTAATGTATTTCATGCAGCTTTCACTCCATAGTTGTCCAGATTGCAACACCGCATTCCATATTTCACCTCTTTTGGCAAACAACGCGGCCATCCTAAAATACGTAGATTTTACCAAAGCAGTGATCGGGAGGTTTCATATGCCTTTGAATACCCCATTCATCAATTCAATAAGATTCGTTGTCATGTGCCCCCATCTTTGGCCATTGTCGTATGACCTAGTCCATTTTTCCACCGGAATATTATCGATCCACCTACCGGCTTCTGGATTTGACAAACGGATCTCGTTGCAGTAATATTTGAATGTGAGTTGTGTCAATGCATATCCCGCATTCATAACCGCTTTCCTTAGTGTTTTGTCCTTGATCTCCCTCGTGAAATTTTGGGCGATATGCCTATAGACATGCGTAGAAGGAGGGTCATGCCAACCGTTTGCAGGATTATTGTAGGTACTTTCAATGGAGGCATGTCTGTCTGAGATCAAACAGAGATCTGGTTGAGGAGTCACGTGTGTTCGCAGGTTTTTCAGAAAAAGCTCCAAGCACCACCGGTCTCCCCCTCGACTAGGGCAAAGGCAATTGGGAAAATGTTGTTGTTGCCATCTTGTGCAACTGCCATCAGTAGCGTGCCTTTGTATTTCCCATACAACCAAGTCCCATTAATTTGTATAATTGGTTTTCATGATGCAAACCATGTGATGCAAGGTTGAAATGCCCAAAACACTCGACTGAATATTCTGTTTCCGTTTAGTTGACTACCATCTTGGGCGTATGCTGGCACTGTTTCCAAAACATAAACAGTACCCGAAGAATAAGTCTTGAGTGCATTCAGGTAGCGAGGAAGTTCTTGGTATGACTCCTCCCAGTTTCTGTACACATTTTCAATCGCCTTAGTCTTTGCTAACCACGCCTTACGGTAAGACAGAGTATAGTTAAAAACCATGGTGATGTGGGAGATGATGGTTTTCACCTTCAAAGATGGGTCATTGCTGACCAGTGGTAGGATTTCTTGACAGATGAGATCGTAATTAAGTTTTTGGTGGTCCTGTGATTGGGTAGAACTTACACAAGTGTGGGTAGTCATGGAACCTATGACCCAGCAATCACCTCTTAATATGTATGATGCAGTGAGCTTGAACATAAAATCAGGGTGGACACACTTGATCTTGTACCTTTATGGGTTGACACGGTCCACCTTAAAATCGACCGAGTTGAGCATGTGGAATTTTTTTATGGCTCTGATGCATTCCTCTCTGTTACGAAACTTGTCCTTCTCTTTTAAGTTTTCATCCGACTGCATAATCGGATTGAAAAATAAATCAGTAGACGGTTCATCTCCGTCAATGTTGAAGTTTGTCATGTGCGGAGGTGGTGTGTTGATCTCGTTTGCAGGAATACTAGGTATGCCATCATCGTCGGAATCATCATTCACCATTTCATCAAACTCTAACTCGTCATCTTCTTCTTCTTCGTCAACTGCATCTACCTCTGCTTGTTCGTTCTCCAAAGGATCAACCACTTGTGTCACCTGAGGCTCTCGCAGCATAATGTACAACTCAATAGAGTCGTACCCAGAATACACATGGCTGGAAAACATATTCTGAAGATCCTCGTCATCTTGAACCTCAACCTTATAAAATATTATTTGGTTGTTTCCAAAAAAACTGGATTATGATAAAATATCTGTGTCACCGGGCCTCGTCCAAGTTTGGCCTCCAATCATTTTTTGAATTACGAGAAATTGGCTTTCCCGTTTAAAAGAAATCGGATGTTGTCTGTGTCTCTAAACAAAAACTCAGAGGTGGGACAAATGTATGTCTCACCGTTGAAATGTGCATTGATGACATATTGGGGTGCAGAGGCCATTGCGTAGGGTTGTTTAAAGGTTTGAAGGTTTGAAGGTTGGAAAGTTTGAAGTGTATGAGTTATAAGAATGTTTGTATGTTTGATTGTTTGAAGGTTTGATTGTATGAAGGTTTGAAGGTTTGAAGGTTTGAAGGTTGGAATGTTTGAAGTGTATGAGTTATAAGAAGGTTTGTATGTTTGATTGTTTGAAGGTTTGAAGGTTGGAAGGTTTGAAGGTTGGAATGTTTGAAGTTTATGAGTTATTCGAAGGTTTGTATGTTTGATTGTTTGAAGGTTTGAAGGTTTGATTGTATGAAGGTTTGAAGGTTGGAAGGCTTGACAGATTAAGTGAATCAGTGTTTTGATAAATGTAAGACTAAATAGGTCATACTGAATTTGAATTAAGTAAGTATGTAACCCCCAAGGCTGCCACCTAGCCTGCGCCTACTCTGCACCTACACTGTAACTTGTAAGTCTCCTCCCATCACCTCCAATAGTGTTACATGCATTCAGGCATGGCATCCCCAAGGCTGTCACCTAGCCTGCGCCTACTCTGCAACCCATCACACCTCTTATTCTCCAATGGGGATGGCGACACCTTTCATTTTTGTACTCTTTCCCCAAGTCCAATGGAGCCTCCCTTAATGTCCAATCGTGTTACATGCATGCAGAGATGCCTTCTCCAAGGCTGCCACCTAGTTGCGCCTACTCTGCACCTACACTGTAACTTGTAAGTCTCCTCCCATCACCTCCAATAGTGTTACATGCATTCAGGCATGGCATCCCCAAGGTTGTCACCTAGCCTGCATCTACTCTGCAACCCATCACACCTCTTATTCGCCAATGGGGATGGCGACACCTTTCATTTTTGTACTCTTTCGCCAAGTCCAATGGCATCTCCTTTAATGTCCAATCGTGTTACATGCATGCAGAGATGTAACCCCCAAGGTTTCCACCTAGCCTGCGCCTACTCTGCACCTACACTGTAACTTGTAAGTCTCCTCCCATCACCTCCAATAGTGTTACATGCATGCAGGCATGGCATCCCCAAGGCTGTCACCTAGCCTGCGCCTACTCTACAACCCATCACACCTCTTATTCGCCAATGGGGATGGCGACACCTTTCATTTTTGTACTCTTTCGCCAAGTCCAATGGCGCCTCCCTTAATGTCCAATCGTGTTTCATGCATGCAGAGATGCCTTCTCCAAGGCTGCCACCTAGCTGCGCCTACTCTGCAAGAGTGACACTTATCATGTATGCATGCACCAGCTACCACCTCACTTACTCTATGAAATTTTTTTGCCTATAAATACGGAGCATAACATACTTCTCTCACACCCACAATCGTCTCACTCTCTGCTACAAAGTCTTTCATAATCTCTTACACTTTCTAAGTCTTTCATAATCTCAAGCATTTTCAACAATGGCTCTTCTCACAATGGGCGATTCTCACAGAGGCACAAGGGACAACATTGCCGCATTTGTAAGTTTCTATTTTGATTATACATTTTTTATACTTCAGGTAATGCTTTGTTCATCTTACTTAATCTTACACCTTTTACATTATTAACTCAGGATACCAAAAGATTCAGGATCCGGTCTCACAACTACCTGGCTCCCGACCCATTTATCATATTATATCTGGAATACGCAGGTTTCAGACATGTTATAAAGATCTCCAACGGCACAATTGATTCAAAGTTCATTCTTGCAATGTTGGAAAGGTGGAGACCAGAGACCCATACATTTCACCTACTAATAGGTGAATGTACCGTCACGCTAGAGGATGTGTACATGTTATTGGGTCTCCCTGTCGACGGTAAGGCCGTTAACGGGTCAGTTCAACAACCCAATTCTCAGTGTGAAGAATTGTTGGGCAGGGATATGGTTGAAGGTGTTGGTGCGAGAGGTAAGGGTATACTACTCATTGAGCTTAAAAGTCATTATGCAAGTTTGGAATTAAACGAAAATTCCTCCGAGCAAGACAGGATAGTAAAAGCCAGAAATTTGGAACCTTTTTTTTTGCGAAAGTACGGGAAATAGTGTAAATTTTATGTATTTACATTTACTTAGAGATTTTGAAAAAACAAGAAAGTATAGTTGGGGTTCTGCAGTTTTATCTCACCTATACAGTTCCTTGTGCAAAAATGAAGTCAAGGAAAAATGTACATTTTATGGCTGCGCTTTTTTACTAGAAGCCTGGGGTTGGTGGAGGATGGAGTCCTTAAACCCCGTCAACAACAACACTTTCGTTTTTCCGTACGCAACAAAGTAAGTCATCAAGTTATATACTTTATTACTATTCATCTCTTCACCAAATATATGCTAAAAATAAAATGTTTTTCATTTCCTTTAGGTATTGCGTGAGGGATATGGATTACGGCCAGAATCCAAGATTCAATATCGCACTATACCGCAATCTGTTGGATCACCTAGGCCCGGATGATGTACGTCGTACCTTTCAACTTTTCTTCATTTAAATTATTTATATATTACATTTTCATTAACCTGATTTAATTTTTTTCGCAGTTTGTCTGGAGACCATATTTGGGCTTAGGCCTTGAACCAAACCCCGAGGATGCAGAAATTTGGAGCGCCAAGACTGCAATCATACGGTTCAATGTTGTGGAGATGCACCACAACGACCGTGTGAAGATGCAGTTCGGAATGCATCAAGAGATACCAAGTGATCCGACTTGTTTGTCCCCGTGGAATCTCAAAAGGGTCGACGCCCAGTGTGGTCTTACCAACTGGAAAGACTTTGCTCCAGAATGGTGTAAGATGTGGCAGAGGCGTCACTGACATGTCTTGCAATTCCCGATATTCCTCAATCATGGTAATATGCGACACACGGATCAGTATTTATCTTGGTACAGGTCGGTTAGTAACCCTGAAATGCACGTGTCTCATCCAAGGTATTTGGTTGACCCACGAACACAATTGGCACAACCCTCGTTTCCCCAACAACAAACCCAACACACATTAACCTCCCACCAACCCCCCAGATGAAACAGAACCACAAACACCCAACCACAGTCCCCACCACAACACAATTACACCCAAATGCCCCACAACTAACCACAATCACCACCTCAGTACCAATACCCCCATATGCCTCACACCCAACTGCAATACCAATCACAATACCAACACACCCGCATACCCCACACACAATTTCAGTCTTCTGTATATCCCAATATGGGCCCCTCAACATCTAGCCTTAGCCCTAATCTGGGAATGTCGGAAGATTACGAACCAACCGACCCAACTTACCATCAACCACAGTATCACCAAACCACCCAACATCCTCAATACCAAACACCCCAAGATCCATTTCCTTTCTACCCCCCGTACTCAGACGATCAATGCTACAGACCCACTATGGAACCCCACCCACCGCCAACACGACCAAACTTTGAGGGTATGGGTAACCGACTGTACCAAAGAGGATCTTCTACATATGGAGATCTGACTGATTTCATGGATCCGGAACGCATTGACTTCGTTGGGCCAGCGACCCTGCCACAACAGGAAATGCGACGACACCCAGCACGGGAAAGGCGAGGACGGGGATGCGGAACCGGGGGTCATTACTGGGTTTCGGGGGATCACTGATTTATCTGTTTTTTTTATCTGTTTTTTTAATGTAATACATTTGGGTCTAATCATTTTTTTAAAATAAAAAGTCAATTTTTTTGATCCTGTATCAAATACGCAATGCAGCGGACTGAAAAAGAAAGCGAAATTTGCCCTAGAATTGCACTAAGGCGCCATCTCACTTAGCTTAGGGCATGCCCTAAGCACCTAGGCGCCAAGTGAGATTGTGCCTCCCCTTAAATAATGGTAGTAGGCGCCTAGTGAGATGGCTCCTCCTTTGGGGAGTCATCTGAAACATGGTTATTTGCGTAATTTTTTCCGAAACGTGGTTTTTTGCGAATTTTTTTTTAATACATGGTTATTAAAAAAAAAACTGGTATTTTCCACTAATTTTACTACTTAATTATTTAATTATTTTTTTTAAAACCACAAACAACACACAATTCATATGTGGTATTTTATTAAAGACAAAAGTATTAGAGAGATTAAAATGCCACCCCCTAAATTAAATATGACACTCTTAATTTTAATTATTCTAGAATTATCTTTGTTAGTTACAAATAATTTTTAGACGAAATTTTTAATAGAGGATTTGAAATTTTCGGTACAGACAAAATATTCGGTATATCTTTACAAAAAATTTTGTTTATGTAAATTTTCAGTAGTATATTTGAAATTTTCGATATTCCAAAAATTTCAAATTTACTAGTCAATACCGCAAATTTGAGTTACACTGAAATTTCTGGTAGATCATTTATTAAATTTTTTTAACAGTTGAGATTTTACCGACATCTTTGGAGGGTCCTGATTGCACCGACAAATTTGTATGGTCTATAATGCATCGCCATTTGTATAAATAGGGGAATATGCTACAAAGAAAAACATCTCAAACAATGTATCTTTCTCAATTTCTGATTAAAGCAGAAGTACATTACAACGGAAACAACCATGCTATTGAATTCAAGCTTTCAGATGGCAGCAAATTCTTTCCCACCTTGAAAGAAATGTTGAATGCATTCCTTCCTACCAATAACAGAAGGGTGACAAAGTTCGAGTTTCGGGAAGATTGGATTCATACAAATGGAAGGGTGAAATACAACATAATTGAGTTGAATAACGATGAAGATGTGAAGGCCATGTAGAAATCATTTCATCGTAGGATAACTAAAGGTATGATCGAGTTGAAT